TCACACCTCCTCCCCTCACACTCACACACCCACACACCCATCCCCCCACACCCTCCCCACAGATCTCCTCCCCTCACACTCACACACCCACATGCCCCATCCCCACGTCTCCTCCCCTCACACTCACACACCCTCACACCCCATCCCCACACACCCCATGCTCCCACATATCTCATCCCCCCACCTGCACATCTCCTCCCCTCACACACGCAGCCCCCCAACACCTCTGTCCCCACACAATCCCTCCCCCCATACACACCCCCATCCTCGCACACCTCCTCCCCCACACTCCCATCTCTACACCCCCCGTTTCCCATACACAAACACACCCCTTCTTCCACACACACACACCCATCCCCGCAGCCTCCTCCCCCACACACACCCTCCCCTTTCCCTCCCTGCAGCGATGCTGAGCTCCGGCGCCTCGCCAAGCATGGGACAGACTGATTAATAGAGCGGCACTGATGCCCTGCTGGGGGGGGAGGGAGGCCTGGATGGCAGCTGGCGCTGTGGGGGAAGGGGCTGCGGCTGGACCCCGGAGGGGCCTCCCCAGCCTGCTGTGCAGACAGAGCTGGGGAGAAGGGGGCCAGGCCCGCACTGAGCAGCCTGTGTTACTAGAGAGCTGGTAATGCTCAGGGCCATCCTTCCCGTGGGATGTTCACACCCCTGCCAGGCTCCCCGTGGGCACCCGGCTGGCTGACAGGAGCCCCCACCCCAGCCACCCCCTCTCCCCAGGCTCACCAGGTGCTCTGCGGCCGTCTTGCGGATCCCCACCATGCGCACGGCATCCGGCGGCACCGGCTGGTTGTTGAACATGGGGTCCAGGAGGGGGCTGGGTGGGGGCGTTTCGTAGCTCTTGGAGGCCACCGAGTCGTGGGTTTCCAGGAGAGACTGAGACCCCCAGCGTGAGGGGGGAAAAGGGAGGGATGTTAGCAGGGGAGAAGGGGCTTTGTCCACTGCACGCAGAGCGCAGACAGGAAACAGACTGGATCTCCCCCGGATCCCAGCCTGTGTGGCACAGACCAGATCCCAGCCGGATCCCAGCCTGTGTGGCACAGACCAGATCCCAGCCAGCTCCAAGCCCACATAGCACAGACCAGATCCCAGCCTGCGTGGCACAGACGAGATCCCAGCCTGCATGGCACACATGAGATCCCAGCCGGAACCCAGCCTGCGTGACACAGACCAGATCCCAGCCAGATCCCAGCCTGCATGTACAGACCAGATCCCAGCCGGATCCGAGCCTGTGTGGCAGAGACCAGATCCCAGCCAATACAGCACACGAGCCTAGATCATGACCAGATCCCAGGCCGCATGGCACAGGCCAGATCCGTACTAGATCTCAGCCAAACTCTAGCTGATGAGGCCAGAACCAGCTCCCTGCCAGACCCCATATCCACCCTGGGGCTGCTTTGCTCCCACTGTCTGTGCTGTTCGCGCCCCACCTTCTCTGTGTATCCAACTGCGGCCTAGTGTCTAAATCCCAGACCGGGAGCTCCCAAGGGCAGGGGCGGGGGCTGGTTCTGGGGAGCTATTTGCCCAATTGGCCCCTGATCCCAGGAGCGGGTCCCGTCGCGCTACCACCTTCCAGAGGATAAAGCATTGAAAGCAACATTGTCTGGACTATGGCATGACCCAAATCCCAGCTAGAGCCCTCCCACCCCGTACACAGCCAGAGGGGCGTGACCCTGACCAGCCTCCCCCCCGCCCCCCAGATCCCAGCCGGACCCCCGCCACATGCACGCAGCCAGAGG